ATTGAGGAGGATTGCCCCATGTTCAAACATAAATTTCCATTTAATTCATCAGTTACATGATATATTTATAACAATGTCAGACGAAAAATATTTAAGGAAATTTTAGTTTCAAAATAATTTTTAAGACGGTTGCCGCCTGTTTTGAAAGTGGTATTTCGTTTAATTATAAATAAGTTACATGAAATTTTAAAATATGGTTATCAAAATTTTTAAGCTGAACATTTGGTTTTTTTGTTGAAAAAATTAAGTTCAAATTATTTAATAAGTTAAATGGATTGCCAAGAGATGGGCATCAATCGAAATGGGTTTGAAAATAATTTATTTCTAAACTGTATTTAGGAGAGTTGCCATGTGTTAAAAAAAAATTAATTTCAACTTAATTCATCAGTTAGTTGAAATATGTATAACAATGCTAGGCGAAAAATTTTAGTTTGAAAATACTTTTAAAGTGGTTGCCACCTGTTTGAAAAATCAAATTTGTTTTACTTATATTAAAGATACATAAATGAAATATCGAAATAATAGTGTCAAACGAAAGAGTTTTAAGAAACTTATAGGCTGATAATATTTTTAATTAGAGTTGTCATGTATTTTTTTCGAAGGTCATCACATCTGCACCGTCATTTCGAATTTCTAAAATGAGAAGTCAAATTAAAGAACTGGGATTCTACATAGATGTGCACAGGTTTTATTTTTTGAAGTTACAGGGACATTTGAAATTTGAAGAAATGAAAACCGACACCATGCGAGACCTCTCATCACTGAGAAACGGTTAAGATTAATCATTAGGAATATTTTTAGGGTTTTTTGAATAGGGTTTCACCTGTTTAAAAAATTTAATTAAATGCTTTCGTTTTGACGCCATGCGGGTTCACTAGTTTCTTATATTGTCCATTGTGCCACAATTTTCCCTGGTACGGTAAGTACAGGTTATCCATACGATTTATTCAAAATAAAGTTCCGCAGGCACATTGATGTATATTTCAGAGAGCTCCTAAGGCATACGAGCCGACTTAGCTGCAAAAAAGCCAATTATGTGATTGTGTAAAGGAAGTGCTGAGATGACTTCACCTCTTATCGATATTGATCCGTATCGGATGGGTTTCATACGAACAGTGCCCGGTAAGGATACCTGTAAGAATCGAGTGTTTGGTACTTATCCAACTGCAGGATCAATATCAAGTGGCAGCGGTCAGACAACGTCCAGTAGGATATTGCAACTTTGCAGATCAGAGTTTTCGCTAGTTGACTCGACTATACGCAGAAATAGTCTACGGGTTGCGACATCGACATCGAAGCTTCGACGAAACTTTGGCGACAAAAGGCTGTAGTCGCAAAGAAAAATCGAGAGTTTCCGGAACTGGCTTTCAATACTGAATACACCAGCAGCTGGTGATGAAGAGTGTCGCAGCTGCAGAGAATAGCGCAGCATAAAAAGCCCCCTTTCATCCCGTAGCGAAGCGAGTGACTATTAACCAATACCTTGAAGAGGAGAGACAGAAGACACATATTCTCAAGAAGAGGAGAGATACGCGAAAGATGTGGGTGCGAAGAACTCTAGATGCTCAACGCTCTGACGATGCCAGTGGTGGGTTTGACGAGGAACAACTCAGGCCAATATGTAGCGACGTAGCTAACGCTCTTCTAGTCTACCAATACGAAGGAAGAACACGACAACTAATAAAGTTTTTTTTTTACAAGAATGCCTTTGAATTTACTTTTCTATATAGAAACCAGACTTTCAGAAAAAAATTGGTTTTATCACGCCCTGGCTGCCGTGCAGTGTTATCGTACATTGCTCGGAACTTCACCTTGACCATACCAATCAAAACTCAAAGGAGTTACTAAAGCCTAATAATACTCAGCAAATACAAAACAGACAAATAGGGTATTATTTACCTTACCACACCTTGCTTGAAATCAAAACACAAAAAATTAAAATGACCTTTTGACTTTATCTACCCTTTGCGCATAGCATACAAACTTTCATATTTATTACAGGAAAGTAAATTTCAAAGCAATGCACATACACTAGGTGACAAATAAAAGTGTACACCTAATATAATATTCACAATTATTTTCATGAAAAATACTTTTTATTTATGAAAACATAGTTCATTCTATAATATAAACCATTTAAATCAAAATTTCACACTTTATGTAAAGTTCACAAAAATTTTTGTGATGTTTTTTGTTTGGAGACTGCTTTTGCGGTTTTTTTTTTTATATAGCAAGTGCAATTTACAAAAACTGGCGCTGATTGTTTAAAATTTCGTTGCTAATGGTCTCCCGCATTTTATTTGATAAGACATTCAAAAAAAAGTGCAAAAATCTGTAAAAAAAAATCTCAAAAATCAACGGGATTTTTTAGCCGTTTGAAACTTTATTGAACTAAAATCGAATGGGCTACAAAACTGCATGCTTGAAAATTTTCTAGAAATTCTGAATAAAAAGTAGAAAATTTTTAAAGTTTTTGTGCACGTTATAAAAAGTGTGAAACTTTGATTTATGTATATGGTTTATATGTATTATAGATACGGTGACCATAAATATATTTTGAAAATGCAGGACAAATTTTCAAAAAATTTACCTACATATAATTGCGTAGTATAAAAATAACAAAAATATACTACATATATGTATACATTCCTCGTCATTTGAATAGCGCGCCATTTTTGGATTTTCTACCATATAAAGTATGCTTGACAAAATTTTTAAATGGAAGAA